GATAGAACTGGATTATTTCCCTGATGCGTTCGTATATTGTCTCTTCTGAGCATCAGAAAGCCCTATATTACAAGCTACCCTACATCCCAGCCAAGTGCTGAGATTCCCACCGCCGGCTTCAGACACACCATGGGCAGGAAAATTCTGGCCATGACCTTCAAAAGTTGATCATTCAGAAAGTCTCTCCCAGCTCGCGACTTGCTTCAGAGTGGAAAACTTGCAAAAAGATGCCAAATTCACCACTGGTGAGAACAATTCTCTCCAATATCCACACAAGAAAAAAAATCCATCGCCACTAATGAGGACTCTTTTATATATGGTTCATCCATCTTTAAAAAAGAAAAACTATGCATATATAATTTTTTTGGGTACCCCAAATGCTAGATTGTTGGATTTCTATCCCAATAATATAGTCGATGAAATCTGCATTTAATACTCATTACCCTCTGGCAGTTTCACAGTTTTATATACTGGAAAATCACCATGTTTAAATGGAGGTGTCCGAAAATGGTGGTTCCCTAAATCATCCAAGTCATGAATGACCATGGCTTAGTATTGAAACCCATTTCGTGACTTGGGGATCCCCCCATTTTGGGAACCCCGAATTCTCTGTACCCTCTGGTAAACTAACATAACTATGGAAAATAGGTAAATCAACAATAAATGTGCCATTTTCAATAGCTATGTTAAATTACCAGAGAGTAAATGGCCACTTTTCCCAATGATATCCCCATTTGGATCAGTCCATGGTGACAGGCGGTCACCCCACCTGGTCTGCTAGCTGCTGGTTCTCCTGCGAAACTGTGAAGTCCACCTGCACGCTGGGCGGCCACGGCCATCAAATTGGGGGAGATGCCATATCATATAGATAGATAGTTAGATAGATAGATCGATCGATCGATGGATGGATGGATAAATGGGTAGATGGATAGATGGATAGATGGAGAGAATAGAACAGATTCCGATTTGTGATTCGGAAACAACTATCTAAGTATGATTGATACCTTTTTGGAATGGTTTGGTATGCCATTTGTCATTTTTGACCTATGGGTTGTTGAAAATAGGGGGCAAGCCTCTAGTTTCATCAAGCAGTGCGAAATGGACATATATACTTGTTGTTTATATCATATAGGGTGCAGTTTTTTTTGGGTTGTTTTTCTTTCCCCTGATTTTTTTTGTTTTTCAGTCTGGGGCACTTTTCCTTGCTATTTGCTACATTTTGGAGCAAAAACCTATACTTTGCTGAATTTTGGTGCTAGAATTTGCCATTTGCACTGTTCGTCGATTTTTCCATGGTGTTCATTGATTTACCCGAAGTTTTCCTTGATTTTTAGATAGTGTTCATTGAGTTTGCCATGGGTTCAATTGATTTTCCCATGGTTTCAATCGGATTTCCATGCATACCATGCACCTGGTGAACATGTAGAATATAGGTTGAAGCACAACCGTGTTGGGTCTAAATAGTGGCATTGGATGCTATCATAGTGTTGGTTGGGGTTTATTTAGGGTTGGTTTAGCGTTGGTTTAGGGTTGGTGTAGGGTCATTTAGGGTTGGTTTAGGGTTTATTTAGGGTTGGTTTAGGGTTGGTTTAAGGATTATTTAGTGTTGGTTAAGGGTTTATCCAGAGTTATTTCGGGATGGTTTAGGGTTTATTTAGGGTTGGCTTAGGGTTTATTTAAACTTGGTTTAGGGTTTGTTTAGGGTTATTTAGGGTTGGTTTAGGGTTTATTTAGGGTTGGTTTAGGGTTTATTTAGGGTTGGTTTATGGTTGGTTTAGGGTCATTTAGGTTTGGTTTAGGGTTTCTTTAGGGTTGGTTCAAGGTTTATATTAGGGTGGTTTAGGGTTTATTTAGGGTTGGTTTAGGGTTTATTTAGGTTGGTTTATGGTTGGTTTAGGGTCATTTAGGTTTGGTTTAGGGTTTCTTTAGGGTTGGTTCAAGGTTTATATTAGGTTTATTTAGGGTTGGTTTAGGGCCAACGGATTAGGGTCTATTTAGGGTTATTCAGGGCTGTTTAGAATTATTTAGGATTAGTTTAGGGTCTATTTAAAGTCGCTTGAGGGTTGGATTAAGGTACATGTAGGGATACAAGGTATGTATATAAAGAAAGAAAGAAAGAAAGAAAGAAAAAAAAAGAAAGAAAGAAAGATAGATAGATAGATAGATAGATTAGATAGATTAGATAAATTAGATAGATTAGATAGATTAGATAGATTAGATAGATTCGATAGATTAGATAGATTAGGTAGATTGGATAGATTAGATAGATTAGATAGTTTAGATAGTTTAGATAGTTTAGATAGATAGGTAGATTAGATAGATTGAATTAGATTCGATTAGATTAGATTAGGTTAGATTGGGTTAGATTGGGTTAGATTGGGTTAGATTGGGTTAGATTGGGTTAGATTAGATAGATAGATAGATAGATAGATAGGTAAAGCATGGAAAAGCCACAAAAGGCACAAAAGGCACAAAAGGCACAAAAGGCACAAAGCGCACAAAGGGCACAAAAGCCAAGCTGGAAAACAAAAAAAATGCCCTCCTATGCCTCCTATCATATATCCCATGGCATCCCGCACCAAATCCCATTATCATCCCCATTGCATCCACACAATAATGTTCAAATCCCTGATAATATGTACATATACATATATTATATTGTGGCTTATACTATATTCTCATTAAATCTCTTTCATAGTCACTCCCCGCAACAAATGATTAAATCCATAAACCCGATTTAAATCCCCATAATATTCCCATTATGTTATTCTCCACAAGATTTTAAAATCTGAGTATATTCTCAATGGGAGGGAACCATGCAGCCAGAAGGGTCAAATCAGGATTCAATCCTTTTTGGAATCTGGTTTCCATCCATATTCTATTATTAATCCCCGTAATATTGCTACTGGCCCAAAAAATTGCACCCTTTCCCACCGCACCTTGCTACTGCGCATGCGGCGCGTCACGTACTCGGCCAGCGCATCAGCCTATAGGGTGCTGGGATGTTGTGCTGGCCACAGTATATGTAGAATGTATAGATAGGAATATAGGTATGCATATGTATATGTATATGTATATGTATCTGTATATGTATCTGTATATGTATCTGTATATGTCTATTATGTGTATATATATATTTATAAATATATATATATATACATGTGTATATATATATATGTATACATACATGTGTATATATGTATATATATATATACATATATATATATACATATACGTATTCGTGTGTATGTTTGTATTTATTTATTTATTTATATATATATATATATAAATACATTGATATGCGTGTATGTAGTGTTTATGCCTGTGTGAATCAAACTATCCGATTCCAAGAGTTCTTACTGGTGAAAAGTCGGACAACCACTCGTAGTCAGGCCAATTTCCTGGTGCAGATGCCTCAACATGTCCATCAAGAAATAAGTAGTCCCTTTGGCTAAGATTAAATACATCCCATGGCCCATAACCCTTGGTTCTTAAGATTAAGGATAACTATTATATAGATTTTTTCCTTTTCGGGCCCGCTATGGGGATTTGATATTACCAAACATCTGCTGGGCCAAGGCCATTTGCAAAATCCTACCAGTACTGGAAAATGTTTCTCTCCAAAACGCAAAGACCATCTGACTGGTAGTACAACCTCTACTCATTAGATTGCTCTCAGGGAAAATCCACAAGAAACACCAAGAAACCATGGTTTTCCAGGTTTGGCAAATAATAAAGGGGGTTCTCGTAAATGTTCCCTTCATCCAATTTCAGGATCTACAAAATAGAGTCTTAAAATAGCCCCCCCCCTTTTGCGGGTTGCTCGGGGGATCATCCCACTTAGTAATTGCTTCATAACCCTGGTGAGTAAGCCCCCATTGGCCATTCCTAGGGGTGCTCCATTGATATAACCCCACGAACAGTCAATAACATTCACCAGTTGAGTGGGATAATGCTCCAAGTGATGATAATTTTCTCCATCACCATGACCATTTTAGGGCCCCAGAAATGGTGCCTCCCCAGCCGGGTCCCCCCAACGCTGAAGCGAGCACCAGCGCCACTCTTGGAACGATCACCTCAAGGCAAACCTCTGAACCTGTGTAAAGGGTATGATGATGCCCAAGAAGACACAGCCATCAAAGTGACAGGGACTCTATATAAATATAAATGTAAATACAAATATAAATATAAATATAAATATAAATGAAATTTAAATATAAATATAAATAAATTCAGATATAAATATAAATATATATAGACATATTCATATGTATATTGTATATATATATATTTATACGTACACACACTATGACATATATATATGTGCATACATATGCATAATCATCTTGAAGTAGAGATATTGTGGCACTTGAAAAAAACACAATAATAATAATGTCCGCCTCTTCGACCAGGATTTTTGAAATGCAAAATTCGATCTACTCCAGGATACTCTATATATATATATAGCCTGTCTATTCTACTCTTTTGGGCCCAAAAAATACAATGGTGAAACTTTACATTGGTATCACAGCATGTCTATATTTACATATTTTTGTGCATCTACACATGGATACTCCATAGATGGGAATACGATGCATTTCAATATCCACAGCATCTATACATCATCCAAAAAAATGGAGATTCAAACAACATGTTGCCTTCTGCTCAACATGAGGCAACTGCCACCCGCCCCACTGGCCTTCCTTGCAGCGGCAAACCGGGCAGGTCTCATGGGAACGCTCGATCCAAGCACGCAAGCACTTGGGATGAAAGGCGTGACCTCCCGGGCAAGACCTTAGCGGTTTCAAACCCGGACCGTTTTGACAGGTGATCCCACAAAACAAAGGCCGCAAAACTACATGACAGTGCATGTGCATCTACATAAAAATATACATGTACATATGCATATACATATACACAAATAAATACATATATATATATATTTATTTATTTATTTAGATATATATATATTTATATATATATATAAATGTCTCTCAACTCTTCAAAAGAAGGATTCAACAAGAAGGAAATACGTAGGAGGAACTCAACACACAGCTGAAATCAATGGATAGCTGCAAGGTCTGCAAGCTCTGCAAGCTCTGCAAGCCGCGGATGGATCTGCCCTCTTTATTGTCTCTTCACACATCCGTGCGCTGTCTGGGGCAACTTCCGCGTTTCCACTGCCAATCTTGGCTTCATCTGTAGCACTGCAAGTACAAGCGGCCATGGTTACAGTTGCAAACCCAATGTGAATCTTGAGTTGACTGCAATGAGTGGCCAACCCGCTTTCTGCCCAAGGGCTGGGAAACATGAAATGTGAGCGGGCCACTGCTTCAGTGACTGGAGCTTGACAAAAGGATCAGGAGTCAAGATCAAAGGTTTGGATCAAATGGTGCCCACAAGTCACTTGCAAGTTAGTTGCCTCTCAAGAAATTCTGCTACGCATGATTCACATGACACAGCTACTGCAAGTCAGTTGCCTCTCAAGAAACTTTGCTACGCATGAATCACATGACACAACTTACGCAAGTTAGTTGCATCTCAAGAAATTCTGCTACGCATGACTCACATGACACAGCTTATGCAAGTAAGTTGCATCTCAAGAAATTCTGCTATGCATGACTCACATGACACAGCTTATGCAAGTTAGTTGCATCTCAAGAAATTCTGCTACGCATGACTCACATGACACAGTTAATGCAAGTCAGTTGCCTCTCAGTCTCAAGAAACTTTGCTACGCATGAGTCGCATGACACAACTTACGCAAGTCAGTTGCCTCTCAAGAAATTCTGCTACGCATGAGTCGCATGACACAGGCTTATGCAAGTCAGTTGCCTCTCAAGAAATTCTGCTACGCATGACTCACATCACATAGCTTACGCAAGTTAGTTGCCTCTCACGAAAGTCTGCTCCGCATGGTTCACAAGTCACAAGTATCCTTCTTTCGCTTACTGCAAACCGTGCGCTGTGAAGTGTTGCATAAACTGTTTGATCACCTACGGTGAACTGCACCGTCTCTCAATTCTTCAAAAGAAGGATTCAACAAAAAGGAAATACGTAGGAGGAACTCAACACACAGCTGAAATCAATGGATAGCTGCAAGGTCTGCAAGCTCTGCAAGCTCTGCAAGCCGCGGATGGATCTGCCCTCTTTATTGTCTCTTCACACATCCGTGCGCTGTCTGGGGCAACTTCCGCGTTTCCACTGCCAATCTTGGCTTCATCTGTAGCACTGCAAGTACAAGCGGCCATGGTTACAGTTGCAAACCCAATGTGAATCTTGGGTTGACTGCAGTGATTGGCCAACCCGCTTTCTCCCCATTTCATTCTGTTGGCATCATCAAGTGGGCGTTGCGTTTCCCAATTGACACTGCACGTCTGCACAGTACAGCTGGCAGGGAAGAAAACTCTGCGCACTCACACTCTGCTGAACAATGTGGCCAACGTCAGTTGGTTCCCCGCCTATCAAACTGGCAACCTCAAGCGTCTTGCCTCTGCTTGGAAGGTCGGCTATATTGGTGTGTGTGTGTGCCTACACGCTCCACCCAGGTTAAGGCGGGGTCTGTTTCTGCACACATGTGGAATAGATGCACCATCCGAAGCAGGGACAAAGAAGGGCTGGTGGCCTTGATAGTAGCTAGCCGGGCTGCCTCATTGTTAAAGAAGAACAAAGCTCTGCGCTTACGGAAATTTGTTTGAAACGCCCTGCGGGCCAAGAGGGCTGCAAACGCTTGTGCTTGAGTTATGACCTGCTCGATGCCAAAACCTTGCCATGCTTTCACCAGCTCGTCTGGAACGATTCCGCCTGCAACCTGGCGGACCCCTGAAATTTTGTCGACCACAACACCCCCCCACGAAGCCACTTGGTCCTCAAAGGCTGCGTCTGTGAAAACCAGAACTGGCGAGAGCTCAACAGCACGAGGGATGGTCCTAGGCTCAAGTCGAGCAATAACGTCAGAAGTCCAACTGCATAGTTTGGCTAGTTCGGATGGCATAACATTGGTCGGCTTGACAGAAATCGCCGCAAATGCTCTCATGGCTACTTTGAGAGCGTGACCCATGCAGAAGTTCATTGCAAAATTCAAAACGCCACAAACCACTTGCGCCTCGTCCTTTGTGATCCTACCTTTGGCCGAAACGGCGGTCAGGAGCTGGCTCAGCTTCTGAAGCCTGGCAGGCTTCTTCATCAAGGAGTGACCAGTTTTACCTAGCTGTCTCACACTAAGGCGAACACCCAGCACGTCAAAGACTTTCTCAAAAGGCAAAGACTTCTGAGGGTCATCAGAATACAACCGGCCCAAAAATTTCAGGATGGACTCGAAAGAGATCCTGGCCAGTTTCTCAGATCCTGGAGGTTCATACATGGCAGAATCGTCCAAAAAGGCGCCGCCAATCATGCAGCAGCATCGCACTGCCAAATGAAGAAGAGCCCGCTTAAGTCTCTGAAGCTAAATACGCTGGCACTGGCGCCGAATGATAGGCTCCTGGAAACAAAGTACAGTGGCTTCTTTGTTTCATAATGATGGAGAACAAGAACTGCAAACTTCCTCGGTGAGGTGGATATTGGTACTTTCCTATAGACCTTGGCTAAATCAATGCCTTTCCATGGCACGTCCTCACTGAAGTCCGGGTGCAGCGCGTCTTCTGACACATATCCCGTGCTTTAGACTATTCTGACCCTTCCACTGCGCTTGGCCTCCCAAACCGTATTTCAGATGAACTGGACAAGGGCTGAAAGGCAGTCTATGTCATGAAGCACAAGGCGATCAACAGCCGTGTAAGCCTGATTTACACCAGACTCCTTCCAATAACTTTTTCTGACGACACGGATTCCTGGACTTGGCGTAGCTCGTGAAACGGTCCTTGCAAGAAGCCAAGCTCGACTTCTTTCAGCGTCGTCTCCCACAAAGCCCTGGCCATGTGAGGGTCTTCCTCATGCACATCTCTGGCTTCTACAAGGTGCCAGCACCACTCGGCCGAAGAAAGCAAGCACTCAGGTGTGGTGACTGCAGGCACAATTTTGAAATCGAACAGCGGCGACTTCTCAGCAGTGCCCACAAGGTCTACCCCAGTCATGAGGTCGATTTCACATACATCTGGGAAACGAGGTTCCTTCAGCAAATGCTTTGCAAGCAAAATGCTTTTGCCTCTGACTACTGTTTGCACATGGCTCGGCAGCGAGGCATGCAGCCTCGCCTCTTCGCCAGCTAGCTCTCCTTTCAACTTGACAAACCTTTTGGCAAACTCGATTCTACTTTTGGCTATGTGGCTGCGACCGCACATCAACAACCTGAACACATTGCTCTTCACACCATCAGGGATATTGCTTTCCAAGTGAAAAGGATGACGACATTTTTCTGCCCGCCGGAGGAACTGGCTGGGAGGGTGGAAAATGCCAAACTTGCTACCTCCCTGTTCGGTCTCCCGCTGAGTTCCCCCATCAACATCCAGAGACAGAACCTTGCGGGGGACAGAAGGAAGCTTGTCCGTTCACACTATTCTGTGAAATTCCGGCAGCAAAGCTTGTGACTTTTTGGTCTGCTTTGGGCCAAGAGGCTTGTCATCTGGCGGTTCAAGCGAAAATTTGCTTGGCAAATGCGCCTTCAGAAGTGCAGCTATCGTGCGGCAGAGCTCACAGGGATGCTCACTCTTAGCCACAGCACCAGAAAAAATTCTCGAGAACCGGCCCAGACTTGATATGGGGTGTGGATGTGATTGCCTGGGCACACACCTGCCAAGGAAACCAAAGCATTACCAGCACGCAGAAACCTCACAGTTCTTGGGCGGTCCCCTCCTTTCCTAAAACTGCTGAAATCTTGAGAGTGCCCGCAAGTCACTTGCAAGTTAGTTGCCTCTCAAGAAATTCTGCTACGCATGACTCACATGACACAGTTAATGCAAGTCAGTTGCCTCTCAAGAAACTTTGCTACGCATGAATCACATGACACAACTTACGCAAGTTAGTTGCATCTCAAGAAATTCTGCTACGCATGACTCACATGACTCACACGTCGCAAGTTGTCCTTCTTTCCCTTACTGCAAACCGTGCGCTGTGAAGTGTTGCATAGACTGTTTGATCACTTACGGTGAGCTGCACCATATTGTGTATATATATATTAATATATATATATATATTCATGCTGTATGTGTATATATATAAATATTTATTTATATATATATATATTTATATATATATTTATATATATATTTATATATATATATTTATATATATATATATATTTATGTATATATATATATATTTACATATATATATATATAGTTTGCATATAGATATAGATATACAGATATTATTTGCATTTATATATATATATAATGCTATATCAAGTGTGAAGTGGATCAGAATCAGATTCATTATCACGGTTCTATCTCTCTTGGGCCTGAAATGAAATAAAAACAGCAAGCCTAGAAGGTTCATTTCAAGCCATGAACAAAAAGCATTTCTCTGAGGATAGGGCACCCCCAATTCCAATGGTGTATCCTCGTGTTCCCCGCTAAAAACGGTACTGTGTGGGTAAAACACCACATTTTCTGGACAAACATTCGAAATATCACAATGTTGCTGGTTGCAAATATCCCTTTAATATCCAGTATCCAATCTCCAATCAAATGGCCTCAACAATCGTTGAAATCAGTTATATTATATATATATATACATATATACATATATATATACATATATATATACATATATATATACATATATATATACATATATATATATATACCTCAAGAAAGCAGCTGGCTGGTCGTATTCCCGTTAGATGGAGTCTTAAAATGAAGGATCCCCAATAGCTGGAAAAAGGCTTATGATGGAAAATCTTATTAAAATTCAATGATTTAGGGCTACCTCTTCTGTTTAGGAAACCTCCTTGTCCCTCCAAAAAAAATACCATGGCCACTGGGTTCTCCCAGCGCTCGGCGCAGTTCCTCGCCATCGGCAAAGTCGCAAAGGCAAATGGCACCTCGGGCCCAGCAAGGCCGAGTTTCAAGTCGCTTTATCGGGTGCCAAAAAGTGTGGTAAAAATAACGGCATTTATGGTAAAAGGAAGTTACCAAATTGATTAGTAAATGTGGGTTTAAAAGTTTACCGCATTAGTGTTGTGATTGTTGTCATTATTCCAAGCGTATTTACTGTTGAAGTTCCGCGTTCGACCCCTATATGCGAAACCATTTAGGGGTGTTTAATATTAAGGGAATCGGATTAATGTGGTAAACCCACTAATAAACCTCCAATGTAACAAAATAATGAGACTTGAGAATAATACTAACGATAGTAATAACGATGATGATAATGGTTATAGTTATAACAAAACGATAAGGGAAATAACAATCACATAATGAGTGTCAATGGATTAATTACAGCAAGCCATTGCTTTTTTCAGGCAAATCGGGAGGTTTTCCTGATTTGATTTTGTTTCCCATGAATCAATTCCGGGAAGAGGGCTTTCACCCGTGCGAAAAAGGGAATGGGGATTTCGACAGTGATTTGGCAGTGATCATATGAATAAACAAAATGGGGATCTGGGTCAAACTTATAGGCTGCTTATAGGCTGCTTATAGGCTGCTTATAGGCTGCTTATAGGCTGCTTATAGGCTGCTTATAGGCTGCTTATAGGCTGCTTATAGGCTGCTTATTTGGCCCATCCAAAATCAGGATGTTGACCTTGCCATTGGGATACGACGTTTGGCACCCAAATAGCTGGTCATTCTGCGCCCTTTTTTTGGGGGGTTGATAATTTCGACCCATAGCCATATACAAAGACCATTCTCAAGCAAGTTGATGACCAGCTACTTGACATGATGGAAGGCAGTACCGCGGAATACGTGACACAAATGTGAGTGAGATTACATACCCGACTTACAAACTGGGTGAACATACAATATGGTTATAGATCAGGTGTAGTGGGAACATGACTGCCGACGGTTGGTCGTGAGTCTTTGCTGTCTACGACTATCTATCACTGAATTATAAATCAAATCATGAACCATCCCATAAGCCGAATCAATTCCGAACAGCAAATGGGAATATGTTCGATGGTGGGTCATTATAGAACCAACAATTGCTGACGATCAGGGACAGAACCGACCAATCATGGAAACATGCTCTGGACTCCAATGGATTATGGTAGAGATGTAATCAACCAAAGAAAGGTAGGGGGGTGGCTTCAGTCCCAAAAAAAAGGACAATCAACTTTGAAGACAGCAAAACTAGTGTTGGATATGATGTGGTGTAAACCCAATAATAGAACAATCCCCAAATTCACCAGAAGTGGGGTTTACAATGGTTTACATGGGTTTACCACATGAGGTTATGTTTTGGGATGTGATATTTCCGCAGAAATCACTCGGACCAAGGAGCAAGAGGTGTACTCCCAAACATCAGGATCACGGCCCAGACTATCTGGCCTGTCACATCGTTTTTTTCCAGGGATCAGTTGATGTTTGATCAGTGTCCAAATGAAAAAGTGGGCATCATTTATTATTTACTCTTGGATTATCCAAGGCAGATGAATGTCATAGTGGGTAAATATGGTAACTATGAGCCCGGGATTGTTTCCGAATGTAGAGGCCGTTGCAAAAATGCTCCAAGTTGCAGCGTCAACTTGCTATGGGTGTGTCTGAAAATCAGCATGTTGGGGATTGGGGTCTGTAAGCGCAAATACGCCGATACGCCGTTACGCCGATCGCTGTGTTTACGCCAAAACACTGTTATGCCGAACCCTGTGTTTACGCCGACACGCCGTTACGCCGATCGCTGTGTTTACGCCAAAACGCTGTTACGCCGAACCCTGTGTTTACGCCGATACGCCGTTACGCCGATCGCTGTGTTTATGCCGATATGCCGCTACGCCAATTGCTGTGTTTGCGCCGATACGCCATTACGCCGATCGCTGTGTCTCCGCTGATACACCGATCGCTGTGTTTACGCCGATACGCCGCTACGCCAATCGCTGTGTTTGCGCCGATACGCCATTACGCCGATCGCTGTGTCTCCGCTGATACGCCGATCGCTGTGTTTACGGTGCCCCATCACCAACCCTAAACCAACCCTAAACAAACCCTAAACCAACCCTAAACAAACCCTAAGCAGACCCTAAACAAACCCTAAACTGACCCTAATCGAACCCTAAACAAACATTAACAAACCCTAAAATACCCACGAACACGCAACCCCTACGGCATTCGGTGTATCGGTGTATTCGGGCGCGCGCGGCAATCAGTGTATCGGTGCGCGGAAGGCAATCGGTGTATCGGTGTATCGATGCGAAAAACGCTTAGCGGACCCCAATCCGAAACGCTATGCTGAACATAGGGTACACTCCAGTTGCAAACAAACCCATATCAGAGTTTCTCTTTAAGGTTCAAAACTGGACACCAAGTTGTGGGAAACTGCTTTCGAGGACATTCCATGGGTCAATCAAAGATCTCTAAATCGCATCTTCGACCCCCTAAAACAACACCCAGTCAGTGCTACCAACCTCAAGCAACATGTTCAAATCATACCCATCCAGAAGCTACAGAATCAAAAGTCCTTCAAAAATGATTGTTGTCGAGGTTCAATCGCATGTACCTCCCCATTTTCCAAGCACCCATCAATCAAAACCGCTTGAACCAAACCAAAAATGTAGCAATAAACAAAATACGATGGTTTTCTTAAACATCCCAAAAATCAGTCATTCTGTGGGTCACACGATCACTGGGAAGACCCGGCATCAACTTCCTCAAATCCTCCTCCTGCGATGCAGGAAGCTGTTAAAGAACACTATGTCATGGCTTAGAAAATTATGCTCCTACTGTAATTAAACCGGCCATTTGTGGGCATATCCTGCATAATCAAGAACAGTTACTACACTTGATAGCAAGGCTGGTGACATGGAGACTGCCAATTTGCATCAACCAGTTGGTAAAAGGCATTGTAAAGAGCATACAAATGTACCCGCATACGGAGCGCAACGATAAGGTTGGTCTTTAAAGGATGTGTTTAAATGTCAAGTTATCGCCCCCAGAAATATCTTTCCAACTCCAAATTGACCATCACATGGACGATTTGGAGATTGGAGGATTGGAACATGTTGGAGTTACCCATTCTTCGATCATGCAATTTTGACCTCGAAAACCACTCACACTCTGCCCAGATCAGAAATGTCCATTCCTCCTGCTTAAAAGAAAACATCCATGTTGCCCATGTTCTGTGCTTAAACCGTTCCTTTTTCTTGGGGAAATCCCATGGTTCACCAACGGCTTCACTCGAAAAACCTCACCTCCTGCGAGGGCCTCCGGCGGAACTTGCAGGTGATGCAGCGCCTGAAACAGCCGATGAAAATCCTTGCAGGACAGTTCATTCAAACCTCGATTTTGGAGGGAAAAAATATCTTCAATGTTGGAGAATAACATCCTTCAATCTTGGAGAAAAACGCCGAAATTCCAGTGTTTTTTTTCTGTGAAACATAGATGCGATCCAACAACCTAGAAGATCGCATGACGCTATGCAAGGAATTCCTCCAGACTGCATCCACCCATGAACAGAACTCGAGATCCGCAGTATACATAGCTCTATGTTTGGGTGCTGCCCGTGTCTAACAATGAAATATATATACCCAACATATCAAGAAAATACGTGGGTATATGTTGAATCTGTCATGTGATGCACACACATTCCAAAAAAAGAATTGAAAGTGCATCACCATGTAAACGTCACGGGTCATCATTTGTGCAAATCTTTTCCGAGACCCGAGGGCCCCATGTATATCCATCTATATTATACATATGTGGTATCCTGATCTCAAGCTGGAACAAAGGGCTTGAATGGTGTCTACTCAAATTTCAGACAAACCTAATTGGTTCACAAGAAAAAACTAACGCCGTTGGGCAAACCCATTAAAAAAATGGAAACCCCTGGTTCCTGTGCTACCAACAAAATCATCTCATTAAACGCTTCAAAATTGGGTGGTAGAACCCTGGTTCCCATACAACAAACAATCCTTTGTGGTTGGTGATATCCCGACTTTTGGCGGTTAAATCATCATGTTTGGCGTGTTCAATCCCTGTTTTTGATAGTCAAATCATCATGTTTGGCCAGGGAAATCCCACTTCCCACCATCAAAAAAGTTGCCAAAAATCTGGGCATTTCGGACGTAAATCTCTCGAGATTTGCCAAGCGCTCCTCCCTGGGCTGCGAGAGGAGCGAAGTGACCTGGCGCGAAGCAAAAATGAAGCAGCTCTTGGGTTCAAAATAGGCTACCCTCTGCAATCATCAGGGCAAAAATCGTTGTTTTATGGGAAAATAATGGGGAAATATATAATAGGAAAATCCCATGTAACTGCAGGTTTTAATGGGAAAATCATCGAAGTGAACGGTGGAAGTTCCATGGCCATGGTTGATTCCAAGAGGGTAGTGTGGTTTGCACGCAATGATGAGGTATCCCAGTAACAAACCATTGGGGGTTCACTTAAAAGCATCCCAAGTAGGCAGTAATAAACAAAAATTGCGACTGTTTATTCGTGGGTTTACCACATTATGCTCCGAAATAACATATTTAATGGGGAAAGTGATGCCAAACCATCATTTTTTCAAGGTTTTCCACTATATTTTCAGACAAAACCACTTGGAGATACAAAAACCTGTGAGTTTATGGTAGTCATAATCAGGAAAGACGGGTTTGCCAACCATCAAACATGGGGCTACCAACCATGAAGAATTGGTTCACAAACCAAAAATCCTGATCTAACCAACCAACAAAAATGTTGATTTAACCGACCAAAAGGAAGATTTAACGGAACAATGATGGTTTAACAACTTAACAAATCAAAATGGGGTCATAACCAGAAAAATGCGGTCAGTCAATGATTCATAATCATTGAGAATGACAGCTATCACAGGCATGTATGTACGTACGTACGTACGTACGTACGCACGCATATAAATATATATATACATATATATATATATACATGAGTTACTGATCAAAGGGTTACTCATCAAAGCTGTTTCTGCACACCTGCAAAATACATGAAAATACAATTCCCTTCTGAAACACGCAGTTTCATACAAAATCTGTTTTTTTGATTTCTACCAACAACAAACCACTGACACACTCTATCACCCCAGTCGCGGGTATTTGGAGCCGCAAGGCATGACAATGTACAATTTGTTGCATCCCACATGGCCTCAAAACATTCAAAGAAATGCAATAAAACGCAAAACAGTCAAAAAAATGAGAAAAATATTGTTTCGAGCCCTCTGCAGGGAAAATTAAACCGCATTTCATTATTTTCATTCAATTTCAACCAAAATGAAATTGGATGAAAATGAATGAAAATGAATGACATACCCCGAGGTCAATCAGTACCCATGAGATCCCCCTACCTCCAAGAAGACATATGTACATACATTGGATAACCGTAGGACTTGCAAACAACCAAGCTTACAAAACAATTCTGAGTTCGTAACCACACGCAAATAGTGATACAGACACTTACTTCCCTCGTTCGCGCATGCCAAAGGCACGTTCGACCAAAGTAAATCCACCAGGTTGAATCACATGCCCGTAGGCGCCCCAAAAAAAAAACAAACGCCGCTCAGCACTTCTTGTCCAGCAAAAGGGGCCAAACCATGTGTGTCAGGGGCCAGACACAAAATGGAAGCAGTCTGCAGGTCTTTTTGTGGTCTTTGAATACCCTAAAGAAACATGAAAATTTAACAACTGGCCGTGGCCCACGGGTTTGTCTCAACATTCTTGGACAAACCCATGTGATTACCTGAATCCCGATGTACACTGGCTACAATTTCATTGTGGTAAAATGTCCGGCCCTGCTTTTCCAAAAGTTACATCCGAAAAGTGCGGTTTCACAAGGCAACATCTGACCATCGGCGGTGAACTCATGCCAAGGACACGTCATTCAGTGTTTCAGCATGTTCACCTGGCGCATTGGAGCACACGCCACTGTCGAACGAGTTTTTGTTGTTGGTATGATTTAGGTGGTTCAAGAACAGGAGCAAAAACTGGAATAATTCGATGTATAACCATGTAATAATGTAATACTATGTGTGCAAACATAGACTACATTGTTACATGGTGCCCGGCCCCCAGACGGCCGTAGGATTTTCAGGCCATCTTCAGGAACGAAACTGTCATTTCACCGCAGTGAAATGAGATTTGTCCTTTCCAGTCCTGAAATTTAACGTTTGAAAATTTACCCGAACTACTTCGTTCTTTCATGATTTGGGTATTTGAAGATCATGTTAGTTGATCTGACTTGTCCCACTGCTCTTGTGGGCTCGAAATTTTGAGCAGGTTCGTTTAGATGAGAAAATCATAGAAAATCCATGGAAACCAATTCATCCATACCACATTTGCGCACTGTGTATCGATGTGAAATCATTGAAACGAAACAGTAGACACATTCCAAAGGGGGCACTGTGGTGGTTGACGCCACTATTTCGAAAGCAAAATAAAACATGATCCTGTGCCCGGCGTAAACACTGGAGAGATTCCCAAACAGAGTAATGATTGTTGGCATTTAAATTCCTGACAATCGGACATCTAACCAACTTCGAGAAAAAAACAATTCAATTGCGAATTTTGGCGTCCTCGATGTTCCAATCATTCAATATTAATCCATATCCAATATCTGTGCATCGCATTTTTAGTGGGAATCTCCTCAGAAATCCAACGCTAAGTTCACTCAGCCGCTGCCAAAGTGTCCACCTGTTAGAAAGGTTTGATTCGAACCTCAGCACTGATCCGCGCAAAAAAAATATGTGTCCAAATGGCAAATTCCAATGAATGGAAAAATGCAAAAAATGAAAAAAAAAATAGAAAAACAATGAAAAAATGAAAACGTATTTGCGAGGATTGCGTAAAAATGTCCAAGTCGTTGTGGAGAACCAAACAAGGGTTGTCTCCAAACACTGAAAATTTGTGACACCTCATGTCAACCTAGAATGATTTAATGATGCGAAAACCTTCGTTGAGTTCCACACCATCGTTTTCTGTTTCCATAGCACCCACATGCATCCGTGAATGGTTGAACGTAGCGTTTCGACCATAGATTTTCACAACGTTGCATTGCTGCATTGCCGCATTGCCCGTAAAGAAATTACCTAACGGATATAATCAACATGCGAAAACCTAAAATGTGTATGATCAAGATAAAACATGATTTGGTGAAAACGTATGACTACAAGAGCCAAAAAGAACATGAAACCAATTCGTTAGACAAAATGTGAAATAAATTGAATAATAATGCACTTGCCGCTTTCCAGTGTTGTTTTTTTTGGCGTATCTATACAAGGTGTGGTGTATATCAAAAAAAAACAGTTACACTGACACAAAATAATTGAAACTACCATGGGGTTGTGTGTTTGTGGTGTGGGATCATTTAAGAGAAAAACTGAGCGATCCATTGTAACACGGTACAAAAGTGGAGCAAAATCAGCGTTTTCAAGACAGGTTGTTACTGAGTGTTCATATTGATTTTGTGCCGTTTCAAACTCCAGTTTGCAAAAGAAAAACTGACAGAACGCCTAACCAAAATTAGAGCGATGATTGTCGGGTGTAGAGCGCGGAACGTGGAATTGTAGAATGCGGAGTTATCACTGCGGAGTGTAGGGTTTGGAGTCGGGGGTGGAGTGTTGAATCTGGAGTGTGGAGTGTGTAATGCGGACTGCGTTATTGTGAAAAGTCGGAGACGCCCCTTTCGTCCTTGCTAATTGAGCCATTGTATGCGGTATGAATCACATTGCTGCATGCTGTCATGGGTGCAACTATATGTACTAAAGTTTGACACCCCTCCTTCAAAGTTTGCGTTTTGCACACTTTAACCTTTACATGTTTGACAGCATTGTTTGTTTTGTTTCTACTGGCACCGCGGGACTGCTTTAAGTCCATGTTGTTTTCTTTCTTGGTGCCTCTGTGCTACATCCTAAATTCCTAACTCAGGCAGCAGCGCAGCGCTCGAAGGTCTGCCACCACGCGCTGGTCCTTCTCGATCTCCACCATCGCCATCATCTTCGTAATCGATCTTCCATCTCTGTCTCTCTCTCCACCAGGCTGTGAATCATCATTTGTTCTTTCATCTTCTTCTTCGCCTACTTCGTGTAGCGAACTGCCAGCATCTGCGTCCGCCTCCTCAAAGAAGTCGATGCTCCGGCCATCATTGACCCGAGCAGGCACTTGTTCACTTGCTTCTATCCAAAGTTCTGGTTTGCCTGATTGCGATTTGATAAACAAATTTTGAAGGTTCCGTAGACGTCGTAATTGACGATTTTTTTCTCTTTGATCTGGTTCTAGAGGGATTCTTTGTGAAAGATTGCGACAATTATGGACCACAAGGTTCTTTGGTCCAATCCCTTGCATCAAAAGATCCCATCTGTAGTCGTCCAGTGCCAAAAGTTCACGAGGTACCGGAGAAATGCACCAGAAATTTGCCATGGGAATGCTGCTGAGGAAATAATTTGCATCTGTGCGTTCGACAGTGTTCGGATCTGCCGATGAACATGAGGGTCCAACACTGTTTGAAATTGCATCTGCCATATTCATTGCAGTATCCATAGCAGTACGACGTGCAACTTGTTTTGCTAAAGGCACAGGCATAGATTTGGGTTGTGGATCTCCATGCCTTTCTGAACCACGTGATCAGGAGCTTGGTCAAATAGCTCCAGATTCTACTTCTCCTTCTCCATGAACTGGGTTGTCTTGAGTTGCATGTCCATAGTGTATGGCACACCAGTCGTCAGGGTCACTGACTTCCTCCATTGTTGATTGCAGACATCGCTGATAGCGACTTCGCGGACTTTCTGGTTCTACTTCAAAACTCTCATCTGAATCAGCATAATCTGCTCCATGTTCATCTCCATCACCATTGGCTGCTGTATGAAGTGTTTCTTCCCGAACAACACGATGACGGATGATAACTCCGCGCATCAGTTCAGTATCTGACATCGTCTCATCCTCATCAAGAGGGTATTCTTCTTCTTTTTCTTCTTCTTCTTCTTCTTCTTCTTCTTCTTCTTCCATGTCTTCTCCTCTTTGTCGAAAAAAATCCACCTTCATTGCACAAAGGATCACTTTCTTCGTTCATGATGATTGCCTCCTTCACTGTCTTCAAAGCAAATTTGCACCTCTCCAGCTCTTCCATCTTGGTCTCCAGCTTGAGAAAAAGTCTCACTACCAAAACCAAAAGAAAAAGGATCACCACAAATGCCCATGTCAAAGTCCTTGACGTAAATCCATTGCCAGCTTGAACTTCTTCACATCCTTGTAGACTGCTCGCCATGATCATGTTGACCAAAAGTTTCACCAGCTGCTTCTTCTTTCCATTGTAGACCGCATCATGGTTCTCCTCGAAGTTTTGGCTTTTCAATCCAACTCTCTTCATCAAGAACTCGCGCCTTTCCTTCGATAACACTTTCGTGTTCAAGTCAGCTGGGTTCTCCTTGGTCGAAATGCGATCCACATAGAACCCCCCTGTTTTCTTATGGCTTGTTGCGTTCAAAGGAGGCGGGTTGAGAGATGTGTGGCCTTTACAGGACCCAAACGAGTAGAGTCCAATCTCAGTCTCGTCATCACCTTCTCCTAGTTGCCAAGACCACCAGCTTCATTGCCCAAAAATTACAAAACCTGCTTCAAGGATTGCCTCCGTCAGCAAGCTCGTCGCAGCAAGAATCTCAGTTTCCATTGAACTCAAGGAAACCGAAGTCTGAGATCGTGAATGGCTGTGGACCAGGCAAGCATAATTCGCCCATGGATTGGCAGGCACCCGAAACTGACTTCCCTTTCTGGAGACGACGTGGCCCCTCTTTCAAGATCACGACCCCGACGAGCCATGCTGCAAACAGTCTCCCAATTTGGTGCAACGTTGCGACTTCTCACCTGCTCCAAGGGTATTCACAGCACCCTTATCGTCAGATTCAGGACCCGACTCACCTGCACCCACTATACAGTCCTTGTCGACGTTCATATCTCAACCCTGCTTCCCGTAAGGCAGTGAAGCCATCATCCTGGGCTTGCAGCAGCACCACAGTCGTGCATTAGGTGGCAAGTTTCTTATCAGAATCAAGGCTGATCTGATTCATTCAACATGAAATCTGTCCCAGGCACAGTTGGAGGAAGAGTACTGATCAACTTATCACCTGGATGTTTCAACAGTTATTGCAACCTCAGAAAACAAATTGCTTCTGAGCGGGGGTTCGCAATGAAAATTCCAGCTCTTAGACTCGCAACAACTCAAATCCGCATGAATCGAAAGGTGATATAAAGTCTAGTTTCCTAGAACAAACCCAAGTTCGGAAATCAGAACCTCGAAAACCTAAACACGAAGTTTCAACCTCGACTCCTAAGCGCAAACGTCAGCTTCAATCTTTTGCTCGGACGCGACACAGAGGAGTCAGTCTCTCAGGCGGTTGCCTGCTGGGACCAACGGCTTCCATCTGCAGGAGAGGCTTTGTTTCGACATCACCAGCCAATTAGTCAACCTCTGTATTTAATTTAGAAGGCTGCTGGCTGCTAGCTAACATCATTATTGGACCAAATCTCGGCACGTATCTGGCTGGCATGGTAGGAATCTTATCTTCTCTACCACAGACATCAACTTTATCCCAATCACCCATCTGCAGGTTAGTCTCGTAATCATCCAGGGTGTGGAACTCCTCCTGCTCTAAAACTTTCATTATTTAAACTTGTCGTCTCATTCTGTTCAGCCACTCGCTCTGCGCTGCCTCTATGCAGTTCTTGCACGTTTGCTGTCATGAACAACCAGTTCATCGCGATAAACTTTGTAATCCCTCGGTGTTATTAGTATCAAAGATGGACACAGGTGCTGGTGCTGCTGCTACTGAAGAAGCAGCAGGCCTCGCATCAAAGAAAGACTTTCTCTCCTTCTTAACCGGAGTCTTCGGCTGCTCGCTTTCCACTTCTACAACTTCTCCAAAAGAGACTTCTTTGGTCTTAGCCCCATCAGCTAGAACCTGCAGAGAAGCCCGGCCACGCATTGTCATCTTAATGGTTCCCTTCTCTTCCTTCTATTCTTCCAAGAACTTCAGTCTCACTAGCTTAAGGGGTCGATTGCTCATTGGGAAGCATCAAAGCTTGCAGCTACTGTCGACCTTTGAGGAATTTCCATGGCGATCCACTCTTCGCATACTCTTTGTTAGCACCAGCGTCTCTCCGTAATTCTTTTGGCTGGAATGAGCTCGTACATGTTTCAAAATGGCCAAAGAGAAAATTGATACCATTAGACTATGCCCATGCGTCACCGCAAAACTGACTGTTTTAGAGGTCTTAGCTTTCGGACCTTGGTTTCTTTCCAAAGAGTTTTGCAACGCACTCACAGCCAGAAACATGTCTATGAAACCTTGGATGAAACGCACAAATCGAGAAGTGCAACTGCTGTCCACATCACATGACATGTGGATTACTTCATGTTTATTCGTGAGGCCCGGCGCTCATCGACGCACCAGATTTACTGCAATGGCAGCTGAACCAAGAACCCCTCCGACATTTCCGACCTTCGAGGTATGCACGTTTGCCGCAATCTTGTTTTTATTTGTTTCGTTATTTATTCAATTATTTTTATTTTTTCTTTATTTCTTCATTTGTTTGCTTGTGTTTTTTGGCATTATCTTTTTAAATCAGTTCATGAATTATTTCGTTCATTAATTAACGAATTAATTAGTTCATTCATGCATTCATTAATTAGTTCATTAATTCATTAATTATTTCATTAATTAATTCATGTATTAATTAATTGACTTGGTAAGAACTATTGCTGCATATTTCCATTCTCAAGTGCTGATGGTTTTGCCTCCGGCTTTCTTTTGGGAATCCCTGGATTTCTTGAGGCTTGGAGTGTCAACTAACTGGTTTGGCCTTGCCTGCCCATCTCATTGCCACCCTGCCAGCTTCTCGGCCCTTGGACTTTTCTTCCTGCTTGGATTTTGTGCAGGCTCAACCCTTGCTGCTTGGCTGATCCTTTCCTTCCTCCGCATCCTCCTGCCCACCGCCCTGTTTTTCCTCATCACACTGCTCGATTGTACTTCAAGGAGA